AAAAACTGGACTTTCCATCTTAATCTATATATTTCTATGTATCAAATATCACTAGTTCTCTTTCCTTCTCTTTATAGTCTACAATTGTGTTCCAGAAATTTCCTTCATCCCATTCTTTGTTACCAGAATTTAAATTCCTGAATTCAATGGATATCATACTGAAAATAAGCATTTCACAATTTCACAGCCAAATGTTGAGTTGGCAATACTTGGCATTCCAATTTGCCTGTATTAAAACCTGGCTCTCTACACAATTTACAATTTTTCTCCTTTTGAGAAGAAGTCATGAGCTTTGCTTATAAATGGATAGACATGGAGAGTATCATGCTAAATGAAATGAGTCAGAAAGAGAGGGACAGACGTAGAAGGACTGCACTCATTTGTGGAGTATAAAACAACATAACATGAGGCTGACACCTAAGGATAGTAGATACACAGGACAGAGAGATTGCTCCATAGCTTAAAGACTGCCTCATGAGCAAAGGGGAGAAGGCAGCTGGAATAGAGAAGGGATCACTAAGAAAAAGATGGCTGGAGGAATCGGTCGGGATGGGAGATATGTGCAGAAAGTAGATAAAGGACCAAACATGATAAACCTCTCAGAGTCTATAATGCAAACCATAATGCCCAAAAGTAGAGAGAGATTATGGGGAATCATGTCTGGCATGGAGGCAGGGGAAGGGTGGGAAAGGGGGGGTATACTGGGGATATTGGTGGTGGGGAATGAGCACTGGTGGAGGGATGGGTGCTTGATCATTGTGTAACTGTAACCCAAACATGAAAGCTTGTAACTGTCGTTCGGTGATTCAATAAAATTTAAAAAAGAAAATAGACTTCTAAATTTTCTAGTCTGCCTTTCTGATGTGAGCAATTGTAAAAAGGGTTTAGAATGTTCAAAAGAGACCAATAAATATTTTGTCCAAAAAAAATTTTTTTTCTCCTTTTCTGTTTTTTTTTTTTGTTGTTGTTTATTTATTTTTGCTTTTTGAGTCACACACTGCAATGCTCAGGGGTTACTCCTGGCTCTGCACTCAGAAATTACTCCTGCCAATGCTGGGGGAACCATATGGGATGCCAGGGATGGAACCAGGTTAGGCCATGTGCAAGGCAAACACCCTACTTGCTGTACTATTGCTCTGGCCCTTCCCCTTTTCCTTTTTCACTTTATTGATATGTTGTTATTTACTGTAATGCTGTTAATGATAGTTTCAAGAATATATCATTCCAACACCAAACCCACCACCAGAGTGCCCTCTTCTTTCCACCAATGTATCACTTGGGGGCTGATAGGAAGGAGTATATGCGTTGCACACAGGAAGCCTGAATTCAGTCCCTAGCACCATGTAGTCAGCCAAGCACCACTAGCAGCAACTCCAAAGAAACATACCAAAAGAGTCCCTGAAAACTGCCAGGTGTGACCCCCTAAACCTAAAAATAAATAATACATACTTATTAAATAAATAGAACCTTGCTTGATATCAGTCAAAACTATTTTTCTCTTATAAGCTGTGTAAACACACAAAGAATAAAACGGCCGGCGGTCAGGCCGCTTCCCCACTCCAGGGAGGTCGATGGCGATGGTCAGGCGAAGGAAGGAAACGAGGCCAAGCTGGTTGGTCTTAGCAGCCGTTTATTACATGGAAGAGATGCATGTCATGGAGGCCTCAGGAATCCTCGAGCACGTGCACCTTTGTTCTCTCAGCTTCTGTCCTCAGCCCCATCTTCCCAGGTTCTCTGATGCACGTGTCCCCCCAGAGAGCCCTGAAATCTCCCTTATATAGATCATAGTACCTCTAAAGGGCGCAATATAGTGATGTCATCAAAAGGAGTTACAGAAAGAACATTGAGGTGGCAAACCATACATTGTTTCCTTACATCCACATTGTTTCCTTACATCTGCAGGCCAGTAATACTGGCCTCCAGAAGATACAAAGCCAAGCTGAAACCTTTCACAAGCACTTTCACAAGCTGCAAGCACCTTGATTTGCATCCCAAAGACCAGCCTGGCTACCACCTGAGATCTGCATATCTAAGACCAGCCAGGGTTCTGAGAGAAAGGGGAAACTGTCTCAATATACTGAAATCATTTACTGAAGACAGTTTGAAGGGGAGAAAGCAGTCTCATCCAAGCTAGTCAGGACACACAGGAAAACTGCTTCTAGGATGTGTTTCTCCTCTCCTTGTCCAACCAACATATAAGCATACATAATATTAATCATTTTGTATGGACACAATAAGAAATACTTTGAGCTTATAGAATTGCTCTACTAGGGCCATCTCGATCTCAGACTGCAGTGCTCAGGCCAGATATCTTTCCTATTCCTAGCAGCAGGGCCCTAGTCTCGTTGTTACTATTGGATCATGACATCATTTGCCTATGACCAACCTCTTAACTTATAGTTAATAATCGTGGCACCTTGGCCTGGCCCATCGCGATGCCAGGGTAGCACATAACTTACCGGCTTGCCCTGGTTCCATCCAGTCCCACGTTGGGACCCTGCCCTTGGGGTGCTAGGAAGTGAGGGCAACTGAGGCTTAAGTTGAGAAGGCAGATGCCCAGGAGTGAATAATATTCAAAGCCAATCAATTCCTAAGTTACGGAGCATATTAATTAATTGTCTTCCTGTATCTATACAAAAGGACATTGCATTAAAGTAAACTGCTCAAAAGACATAAGGAGAGGAGAAAGGCAATATTAACTTACAGTACAGCTTCAGTGTCTAAGAAGGATGAGACCTTACAAATTGGTTGGGGAAGAGAGCATAGAAGTGGTTACAAGCAGACAAAGTAATGGGAGTGACTCGGGAGCACTGTGATGAGTGCGATTCCGATAAACCTAAGCTCCGTGTACTCCAACATAAGCTATAAATGTCATGACTTTTGTTTTGACAATTTTGTTTCTGTTTGGGGACCACTCAGCAGTTCTGAAAGCATACTCATTGTTTTGTGCTCAGGAGACTATATAGAGTTCCAGGGACTGAATCAGGATTGGTGATGCTAAAGGCCAGCACCTTAACCCCTGTACTATCTCTCTGGTCCATTTTAATTCTTAGAATGTCTTTCTACATTAAAACAGGACCATACTGCCTAAATCAGACACATCTAGTTCCCATTATCTATATGTCTATTCATTTAAACTTTTGATTAAACTGTGGCTAGGGTCACCCATAAGATGATGACATTCTCAAACTCATCCACAGTGCTCAGCAGGTTTGCACTGCTTTAGTTTTGGTGCTTATACTCTGGCTTGACAGTGTTCACACTCTTTAGATGTGGTATGCATGAACATTTTGATTGTGGTTCTTGCCAGGGTGGGTCACTGTATCAGTTACACCTGCTCACCAAAGGCTGTATTTCCGGCCATTGGTGTTAAGTGGGAATTGCATTCCTTTGCTATAATACTGAACACAAATCTGGTTGCCATTGTGGCTTAAAATTCTACTGGAGCTGGAAGCATAGAAACCAGACCTTGCAGGATTGCATGTGCTATTTCTCCAGGTGTTATCTTTTATTTTTTTAAGATTCCTGAAATGCCTATTGCTCCATGGAGCGATAGCACAGCAGGTAGGGTGTTTGCCTTGTACGCAGCCAACCTGGGTTCAATTCCTCTGTCCCTCTCGGAGAGCCTGGCAAGATGCTGAGAGTAGCCCGCCCACACAGCAGAGCCTAGCAAGCTCCCCGTGGCATATTCAATATGCCAAAAACTGTAACAAGTCTCACAATGATGATGTTACTGGTACCCGCTCGAGCAAATTGATAAACAACAGGAGGAACAGTGCTACAGTGCTCCTAAAATTCAACTGTGTGTGTAGAATAAAAGGAGGTTCCATTGATCTAGTTTTCCCCTCAAAACTATGCACCTATATCAACATTATCTCTTAAAGTTCAAATTCTACACAATGGAATAATACTACGCAGCTGTTAGGAGAGACGAAGTTATAAAATTTGCTTCTAAGTGGATGGTCATGGAGAGGATCATGCTAAGTGAAATAAGTCAGAAAGAGAGAGACACAGACACAGAATGACTGCTCTCACTTGTGGAATATAAAATAACATAATATGAGACTGACACCAAAGGACAGTAGACACAAGGGCCAGGAATACTGCTCCATAGTTGTAAGCCTGTCTCATGACATGGGGGAGAAGGTAGCTGGAATAGAGAAGAGATCACTATGACAGTAATGGTTGGAGGAATTGTTTGGTATGGGAAATGTGTGCTGAAAGTACATATGTACATATAGGACCAAACATGATAGCCTTTCAGTACCTGTAATGCAAACCATAAATCCCAAAAGGGGGGGGGGGGAGAGAGAGAGAGAGAGAGAGAGAGAGAGAGAGAGAGAGATTGAGAGTATGAAGGAAATTGTCTGCCTTAGAGGCAGGGGGAGGGTTTAAAAGGGGAAGCGTAATACTGCGGACATTGGTGGTGGAGAATGTGCACTGGTGGAGGGGTGGGTTTTCAATTATTGTATGACTGAAACTCCTACATGAAAGTTTTGTAACTGTATCTCACGGTGATACAATAACAAAATAATAATAAAAAAATTAAACTCATCCAAAAAAAAGTTCAAATTCTAAAATACCTAGAAAAGCTGTACTTGAGTCCCTAGTTCTTTTTTAAATTTACAGATATTCTTCCTTGTTTTTTGTTCATTTGTTTGTTTTGCATTAACAAGTTTAATTTTGTTAACTAAAGCAGCAGTCTGGGGTTGGAGATTTAGTACAGCAGGTACTACCTAGCACGCAACCTACCTAGGTTTGATCCCAGGCACCACAGATGGTCCCTCAAGCACTGCCAGAAGTGATCCCTGAGCACACAACCAGGAGCAAACCCTGAGCATTGTATTTCCCTTTACCCAATTTACCCCATATAATCATTTAAAGATCCATCTACTTAGTCCCAAATGGCACAGTTCAATCCAAAATTCCTTGAGATTCTTACACAAAAGTCATAATTTTATGTGAAAACATGTCATCATTAGATATTATAGATTACTCACTGATATTTTTTCTCCAGATTTTTCTTTTTTCTTCAGCTTTTTCTTTTCATATATTAGATCACCGTGAGACTTAAGCAATTCCTCAAAGCGAACTTTGGTTTTCATTTTGGCTTCACTTTCAACTACAAATAATAAAAGTTCATGTAATTTCCTAAGCAACTCTTTTATAAAATGTTATTAACATTATTATTGCTATAGTAAAGAACATAGCCTATGTGAACTTTTCTGCTACATTTGAACAACCACTGAATCCTTTCTTCACAATAACCGTTTTTTCGCTTTGGTGAAAATATACTCCTTTAGAGACTCATAGTCCTTCTCTCTTGGAAGAGTATAAAACAACTCTCAATAGTCATGCCTCCAGACTCCACACCAGGCTGTTTCATTTAGGGCAACCCGTCGGTGGGTGGGTGAGGCCCCTTTCTGTCCCAAGGAACCCAGTCCCGGCAGCCCAAAACCCCCAGAACTCAACTACCCCCATACTCATGGCCACTCTCCAGATGTTCGGGCCGAGTCTCACCCACGAGTGAACCTATTCCTGAACATCTCATGCCTCACACCACTCATATTCAAAGAGTTGTGCATCAAATTTGATGGAGTGTTAAACAGAAGGCAACCAATCTTAGAGGGAAATATATTTTTACATATATATGCATATATATGTACATATAATAAGCACATGAGGCTCAACCTTTAAAACATTTTCGTAATCTCATATAGAAGGGTTTAATGACCCCTAAATGAAATACAACAATCTTCAAACACTTTCCTCTAAGGAAACTTTTTTGAAGCACTTTCAGTGGTTTATTCATAACAAACAATACAAAGTAAATTGTTTTGGTTTTGCTTTGGGGCAGGAGTTGGAGTTTGAGATGAAAACATCCCAAATATGAAGGTGGGAAGGTATAATTGTGATGAGATTGATGTGTGAATATTAAATGTAATCAAATATTGTGAACTACTTTATAAAAATATAATAGCACAGCGGGTAGGGCATTTGCCTTGCACGCAGCCAACATGGCCGACCCGAGTTCAATTCCTCCGCCCCTCTTGAAGAGCCCGGCAAGCTACCGAGAGTATTCGATATGCCAGACACAGTAACAACAAAGTCTCCAATGGAGATGTTACTGGGCCTGCTCAAGCAAATCGATGATCAATGGGAGGGTCTTTAATAAAATTAAAAAATCTAAAAAAAATAGAAAGAAAACAAAAAAAATAAGAAGAGGGATGGGTACTCAATCATTGTATAACTAAAATGTAAGTACGAAAGTTTGTAAGTCTGTAACTGTACCTCACAGTGATTCATCAAAAAAATTTAAAAATTTTAAAGAATTAAAAAAAAAAAGAAACATCATGTTTGCTTTTGTGCTTCTATGGCAGAGTAAAATAGTAGTGCAGAGGAGTTGAACAGAGAGTACAGGAGGTAAGGCATTTGTCTCTCAATGTTGCTGACCTGGATTTGATCCCCGGCACCCCATAAGGTCCCAAGAGACTGTCAGTAGTAATCCTGAGTGAAGAATCAGAAATAAGCCCTGAGCACAACCAAAAGTGGCACCAAAACAAACAAAATAATAGTGTTGGGACCAAACCTAAAATGTTTATAGCTTGTTTTGAATATGCTATAAAATATCCATTGTAATAATAAAGAATAAAAATTAACCATATATCATAATTATTTTTTACCTTTTCTAAGTTCCAAACTGCCATCCACTAATACATACTAATCTTAGTTACAAATATTAAGTTAGAAATACCAAACTAATATGTCCAAATTAATATTTGGTCAAATACATCTATTCATTAAGTAGCTTAAATAACCCCTTAAAATAATCAAACTTTAAAATAAAAATGTTGCATGCAGAAATTTTACAAAAGTCTTACCAGTGGGCATAGCTCCGCTTTACGAGAACACTGAACAATAATGTAAACGATTGACTCAATCAGGATCCTATTAAAACAAAGAGAATTTACTTACAATATGGAACTTCTAAATAAAGCATAAACATTTCATTTGGTCATTATCTACTTTCTTATAATGTTTATGCCACACTGAAGTTAAGTCTCCTTATTCCTATCCAGTGAAAATTATTTGAATACATTTAGAGTATGCAATAAAGCAGAATAAACTAGACCATAGTTGAATAACATATTTTTAGAAATTTAATCTTTTGAAAGATAGTGCACACTTTCTTTGACTAGTCAATATATTTTTAAAGTGCATTAAATAATTAAGGACTACCCCAATGCACTATAAACCAACACTATTTTAAGATAGATTTTTCCAAGAGCATATATTATTACAATAGTAGAACATGGATGTGGACAACATATTTGAAGATAGCACTGTAGTAGTCCTCCCACTGTTCATCGATTTGCTCGAGTGGGCACCAGTAATGTCTCCATTGTGAGACTTGTAGTTACTGTGTTTGGCATATCGAATATGCCACGGGGAGTTTGCCAGGCTCTGCTGTATGGGCGGTATATTCTAGGTAACTTGCCGGGCTCTCTGAGAGGGATGGAGGAATTGAACCCAGGTTGGCCACATGCAAGGCAAACGCACTACCCGCTGTGCTATTACTACACCCATATTCAAAGATAATGAACTAAAATATGCCCACCACTGAAAATACTATGATGGAAACCATTAAAACCATTCAAATTTTTAAATAAATAGTTGGTGATGTGTTATTTTGTATCACAACTACAGATCAACTCAACACACATATTTCTGAATTACCAATTTCATTTAAAGATGAGGAAAGGTGTCCAAACCACAGTATTGTCGACACTAGAATACAACATGCATATATTCGTATGAATAAAAGTAAACTGTAAAATAAAAGAAAAACAAAATGAAGTGGCACAACAATTATATTAACATCCAAATTCCTGGAGATCCACATTCATACTCCTCTGGTATTAGGAATAATTTGGCCAAAAAAAAAAGTATAAGAGAATAGTGTGATTACTACAAAGTGTGATTATATAACTGCATCTAATTATGTTAGCTAACATTTATGTATCATCTACCTGGTGAGTAGATTCAAGGACATCATTACATCCACATAGAAGAAATTCCCAATTTTTTTGGATAAAAGTCAGTAATCTTTTTTCTAGTTTTAATACGGTTCATCTACTTTCCAATATACCCCAAATTTTAAAGGATAGAATGAAAAGGCAAGTACACTAAGTGACAGCATCAATAACAAAAACCTGACAACACAGAAAAATTATGAAGCACATAAGAATAAAATAATAAAAGAAAACATCTGAACTATAACTGAGAATTATTATGGTAAGAAAAGTCATAATGTTTATTCAGACCCTGAGTAGAAAAGTATCGCATCTTAGATTAACTGAATACTTCTGAAGAAGTCACAAATGATTCTCATGCTTCTAGAACTACATTATTTAGACCAGTAGGATCACTTATTACAATATGGCCTAATGTGGTGAAGCATTTCAAAATCCAAGTCCTAGAATTAGTCTTTTATGATCACCTGAAGAGGAACTTAAGGCATCTGTTTTATCATCTATAATACCAGTGTAATAAAAATTAACCCTGGAAGTCACATGATTTAAAACAGTGCCTTGGAAAAAGCATCAAAAACACTAGATGAGTGGAGACAGTAAGATTGGTGGGGCTATAGCTCAACTGTCATATCAATGTACTCAAATCTACTGGACAGATGGACCTGCCACTAAATTAATCCCCTTTCCTTAATCTCAATTCCTTAATCTTTAAAATAAATATAGTAAATCACTTTATTATTTCAATGTCATATTAACTTAGAATTCTAGATTTTATTACATAAAATTTAGCTAAAAATAGGTATAAGATATGATACCATGAAATTCATAACCATCATTATTATAATATTATTATGGTTGCACAGCATGATTAAAAATGTGTTAACATTTATGGTTTTGAGGTACACAATTGCCACACCTCAGCATCACGAGTGTCCCAAATTTGACCCCATTATCCTTTTATTACTTCTAGTCGGGCTGGAGCAATAGCACAGCGGTAGGGCGTTTGCCTTGCACGCAGCCAACATGGCCGACCCGAGTTCGATTCCTCTGCCCCTCTTGGAGAGCCTGGCAAGCTACCGAAAGTATCTCGCCCACACAGCAGAGCCTGGCAAGCCACCCGTGATGTATTCGATATGCCAAACACAGTAACAACAAAGTCTCCCTTGGAGACGTTACTAGGCCCGCTCGAGCAAATCGATGAACAATGGGAGGGCCTTTACCTTTACCTTTACTTCTAGTCTACTTCATCCTCCTGCAGCCACTGTTCATAATTGCTCGGTAATCTGAGTTTTGTAATCCAAGGCCAAAATCTGATACTGAATAATCCCTTGTTTTGTTTTTCTTCATTACACAGATAAGTGAGATTGTATGGTATGTCCTCCTCTGTCTTAGTTTGCATATAATAAAATAATACCCTCCAATTCTACCCATTTCAGCAAATAGCAATATTGTACCTTTTCTTATAGTTGCATAGTCTCCCACTGTGTTTATCCATTCATCTATAATTGGGCATTATAGATTTTATGTAAATTATATATCTACATCCTGAATATTTAACTAATAGCTACAATGATCATAGGTGACAAATTTGTGGCTTTTTTTTTGGCTTTTTTCTGTGATAGATGTCAAGAAGTGAAATCCTTAAGTAAATGGAAGTTGTACCCTTATGTTTTTAAGAATATTTTTTCTTATGTTCATAATGTTTCCATAGAGATTGAGCAGGCAACATTCTCACCAACATGAATGAGGTTTCTTTTTATACAACATCCCCAGCAACACTAATTGATTCTAGTCTGATATAAGCCAGTCTTACTCATGTCAGGTGTTATCCCTTACTGGTGTCAGATATTGTTGTATTTGCAATTCTCTGGTAATAAGTGATAATGAACATTTGTTCATTATTACTGGCCACTTTACATACTCTTTGTGGAAGTGTATGCTCATTTCCTCTTCACATTTTTTATGAAGTTACTTTTTTTAATTTTTTGTCACTGAGCTTTATGAGTGGCTTATATATGTTGGATATAAGCCCTTTATCTGATGTATGGTATGTAAATATTTTCTCCAATTCAGTAGAGTGTTAGCCTGAAGAGGTTTTTTGTCATATAAAAGCTTTCCAAATTAATATGATTGCATTTTTTTTTTGCCACTGACAACAAACCACTGAAGACCTGTGAGGTTCATATCCTAGAGAGTTCTGCTTATGTTTTCCTCAGTTTATTTTATGTATTGTAATCTAATTCTGAGTTCATTAAGCAACTTTGTGCTAACTTTTGTGTACAGTGTATGGTAGGGGTCCATTCATTATTTTGCATGTAGCTATTCAACTTTCCCAACATCATTAGTTAGAGGCTTTTCTTGCTTTACCTAGTAAACCCACCATCTATGTCACAAACTGTCTATAAATCTCAGGATTTGTCTCAGATCTCAATTCTGTTCCACTGGTCTGAAAGTCTAACTTTATTCCAGTACCACACAGTTCTGATTAAAATTCAAAGTCAGAAAATGCTCTTTATTTTATTTTTCCTCAGAACTTCTTTGACTTTTGTGTGGGTTTTTGATTCCAAACAAAATTTTAGAGCTTGTATTAAGACCTTGAAAAATGTCATTTTGATGAGAACTGAATTTGTATAATGCTTTGCATAGGCTGGTCACTTTGACAATGCTCATTTCTCCAATACATGAACATGGAGAATCTTTCCACGTTTTGAGGTCCTTATATATTTCTTTCAATAGTGACAGTCTTGATAAATATTTTTGCATCCTTTTATGATCCTGGATTATTGATGGTTTGGGGATACTATGTGAAATGGGGTTCTTTCTCTTCTAGATTTTTACTTGGACAGAGAAACCCAATGTATTTGTGTGTGTTTATATTGTATCTGTAAAAATGCATTGTTTTTTTGGGGGTGGGATGTCTAATAAACAATAATCAGGAGGTCAGAGGATATTCTTCTTGTGGTTCAATGTACAGGCTCAAGGTTCAGTGTTCCATAGGTCCTGTGGAGCCAGAATTTAACCTTTCAGTGCTTGGTGGTATTATATTGGTTTATTGTAACAAAGAGATTTTTTGTAGTCCATTTACTTTACTTTTACTTTAGAGAGACTGTGTACTTATAACGCCATCTTCAAAGAGTGAAGAGTTTAAAAACTTTATCAATTTGACTTTTGTTTCTTCTTGCCCAACGGCTATGAACAATACTTCCAAAATTATATTGAATAACAATGGATAAATGAACATCCTTGCCTTGTGCCTGATCTGTTGCGGAGGCTTTCAGTTTAATGCCACTGAGTATGGTGTTAGCTGTGGGTTACTATCTTGAAGTTGTGTTCCTGCTATTTCTATTTTGTTTGAAGTTTTTATATAGAATCTTGTTGGGATGTTGAGCATCCAACATCAAGGAATATTGAATCTTGTCAAAAGTTGCCTTCTTTGAATTCCTCTTGGACCCAATGGTTATTTAACAGTATATTATTCAGCTTCTAATTGTTGAAGTTTTACTCAAGTGTGCATGTGTGTGTTTGTGTGTGTGTGTGTGCAAATTTCTACTTCATGGTACTGTGATTTGAAAAAATACTTATTTCTCCTTACAAGGTTTGTTTTTTAACACTAGAACTATGTCCCTGTATGTGATCTATTCTCAAGAGTGCTCCATGTGCACTAAAATAGAACGTGTAGTCAGCTTTTTGAGTTTCGGGAAATCTCTGTGTCAATTAATCCTCGGTCTTCCATTTCCACATTCGGGATTGTTCCCTTACAGATAATGTTTGATCTCTCTGGTGATAAAATTGGCATACTGAATTCTCTGCTTGATCTTCAAAATGACAAAAGAGAGATACTGAATTCTCCCACAACTATTGTGTTACCTTTAATGTGTCATGTCAGGTCTGTTAGGAGTAGCTTTATAAATTTTGCTGAATCTTCATTTGATGCATGTATGTTGATAAGAGTTAAGACCTCTTGATCTACTAATACTTCAACAAGTATGTAGTGGTCCATCCCTAAATGATTACTTTCTTTAGTTTTAATGCTATTTGGTCTGATACAAGTATGGCCATACCTGCCATCTAGTCTCTGATTATTCTTCTATCCTTCATTATCAGCCTATATTTATCATTAGAACTCAAATGTGACTCTTGTAAGCAGAAGGTTAATTTTGCTTCCTGATCCACGCAACCACTCTGCCTTTGATAGGTAAGTTTAATTCATTGACATATAAAGAAATTATTTAAATGAAAGAATGTAGCCATTTTTCTCTGAGGATTGTTATTGTCATTAAACATATATTCTGTTTTAAAGAACTCATTCAGTATTTCTTGAACTTATGGTTTAAGTGTAAAAGACTCCTTAGCAAATCTTCCTCTTTAGACTGGGGTATTTCTTATCCAGCATCTATTCTTTCTTTTCCTCCTTTGGATGGACATTTTCCTCTTGCAAGTTTCCTTTAAATATCTGTAATTTTCTTCATTAAAAAATCTCTTGTATATTTTTCTTTATTGATGATGACATGTGCTTTGTTATCAAGACCAATGATGTGATTTGGGGGGCATCTTCCATTCTACTGGGAGGGAGCATCTTCTTTTCTACTATCAAGTCCTTATATTGTATTCTTTAGCTCCTTTACTTGTGCTTAACAAGTTCTTTATTTTTCAGAAATCTCTAAGTCAATTTTATCTGCCTTTCATTGATTTTCTCAATTCAACTATTATAAAGAAAATTTTTCCTTTTCTGAAATCATATTCAGACTGT